TGATGGTGATGAGGATGGCCATGGTGGTGCTGATCATGGTGTCCCGATGATGATGACGATGATGATGATGGTGATGATGATGTCGCTTATGATGATGTTGCTAATGGGAATGATGGTGTCCCGATGATGATGATGGTGATGATCAAGGTCGTGTTTATGATGATGATACGATGATGAGATGGTGATGCTGACGATGATGATGATGGTGTCCAGATGATGATGATGATGAGGTTGATGATGATGCTGTTCATGATGATGGTGATGATGATGATGGTGTTCCGATGATTATGATGTTGATGATGATGACATGATGTTGTCCCGATGATGATGATGTCGATGATGAGGGTGATGATGAGATGATGCTGATGATGCTGATGATGATGATGATGATTTTGATGGTGGTGGCCCGATGATAGTGATGATGATGATGCTAATGATGATGCTGGTGTCCTGATGATGATGATGGTGATGATGATGATGGTGACGATTATGATGGTGTCCCGATGGTCATGTTGTTGATGATGTTGCTGATGTTGGTGTCCCAATGATGATATTGATGATGTTGTGCATGATGATGGTGAGATGATGATGATGGTGGTGTTCCGATGATGAAGATGATGATGATGATAATGATGATGATGGTGTCCCGATGATGATTGGGTTGCTGATGATGATGGTGTCGATGATGGTGTCCCGATGATGACGATGACGGTGATGATGATGATGGTGTTGATGAGGATGGCGATGAGGTGATGATGATGATGGTGTCCCGGCGATGATGATGATGATGATGATGATGATGATGATGCTGATGCTGATGTTGATGTCGTTGACGACGATGATGTTGATGATGATGTCATTGATTGCGAGATTGATTGTGATATCGATAATGAGATCGATCGTGAGACTCAATGTGAGATCGATTGTGGGATCGATGGTGAGATCGACTTTGAGATCGATAGTCAGATCGATTAAGTGATCGATCGACTGAAATGGATCGAGTGAGATCGATTGTGAGATCGACCGAGCGAGATCGATCGAGCGAGACCGATAGTGAGATCTATAGTGAGATCGATAGTGAGACCGATCGAGTGAGACGTTTTTTCCTCCCCCCCGAACCTTCTTATCACCCGAAGGGTGGTCGTATAGGTATATTATCATCCTCCTGGGCTCCACTTTTCCTTTCCATCGAAATCTGGGCCCAGGTGTGCCGTGTGGATGATCGATGCGGAATTCTAGACGCTTCGCGTATCCCCACCAGTGACACGCTTGTTGCCGCCAGACCGTAGTCGCGCGGCCGCCGACCAAAACAAAGTATCCCCACCGGCCCGCTGCCCTGTTTGTTCCTCCTCAGGTGGCAGTGCCTGCCCCTGCTTGCCCGGCGCCCGAAATATCCAAATTTGTGCGCCTGCGTACCCAAAATATCCCCACCAGCCCATCCAGAAACGATGCCCAGGCGAGTTGAGGCGATCAGGGAAGTGCAGGAGCAAAGGAGTGGACGGCCGAACCGTGCGAAGGAGGGAGGAGGACAAGGAGGAGGCTGGATGGAGGGATGAGGGAGTGGGGAGAATAGATAAGCATGATGATGATGATGATGATGATGATGATGATGATGATGATGATGATGATGATGATGGTGATGGTGATGGTGATGGTGATGGTGATGGTGATGGTGATGGTGATCTTGATGGTGATGGTGATGGTGATGGTGATGATGATGATGATGATGATAATGAAGATGCTGATGCTGATGTTGATGCTGATGCTGATGCTGCTGCTGCTGATGCTGATGCTGATGATGATGATGCTGATGATGATGATGATGGTGGTGGTGATGATGATGATGGTGATGATGATGATGATGATGATGATGAGGGGTGGTGGTGGTGGTGGTGGTGGTGGTGGTGGTGGTGGTGGTGGTGGTGGTGGTGGTGGTTGTGGTGAGGATGATGATGCTGCTGATGATGCTGATGATGATGATGATGAGGAGGAGGAGGAGGAGGAGAAAGAGACGGAGTAGGAGGAAGGCGGAGCAGGAGGAGGAGGGCGAGCAAAAGGGCCAGAGGTCTCTTGGATGCCTCTCGGAGCCTCTTGGGATATCGCTTGGGCGCTTCTTGGTGGCCTCTTGGGACGTCTTGGGGGTCTGTTGGCGGTCCTGGGGGGCTCTTGGGCGTCTTGGGAGCCCCTTGGAAGCCTCTTGGGGCCGTCTGGGCACCTCTTGGGGCCCTCTTGGGGCGCTCTTGGGAGCTTTAGGGGCGCTTTGGGGTCATCTTGGGGGAGATCGATCAAATAAGGCGGGGTCCTTAATTAGCCTCCCCCCTCGGGAGCCCCTAAAATCGCTTCCTGGACCCCTCTTGGAGCGCTCTTGGGCCTCTCTTGCGGCCGTCTTGGGGCTTTCTTGGGCCTTTTGGGGGGCCCTCATAGGCCCTCTTGGAGCTGTCTTGAGGCCTCGGAAGGCCATCGGAAGCGAAAAAGGCGAGAAGGCTAAATTCATTGATTCCCATGGTTTGTTTTATGGATTTTGGCATCTTGGCGGCCTTCTCGGGAGGATCCGTGGCTACTTGGAACCGTCTTTGGGGCGGTCAGAGGGCCTCTTGGAGCATCTTGGGAGACATTGCGATCTCTTGGGCAATCTTGGAGGTCATCTTGGTCTTTCTGAGGCCCTCTTGGAGCCATCTTTGGCCATCTTGGACGCTCCAACGACCCGCGAGACGCCCCGTCCAGGTCCATGGGTTGGGTAAGGGGGAGGGGTAAACCCCTCCCCGAAGGGGAAGAAGGGGGGTGGAAAAGGAAACTCCCGAAACCACCTACGCTCAGAGGGCTGGTTGGATTCGTCGATTAGTCCCGTCGTCATCGCAAGGGGAACAGTGGTATGGACGATGGCTCTCTGGAGTCCGCATTCCGATCCACATCAGGAAGCCAAAGATGGCTGGAATGCTGCCCGAAACCAGCCGTGGACGCACCGAAAGCGGCCGAAAAAGGCGCCCACGCGGATCGAAGTGGGTCCCGAAAAGGACCTGAAAGGGGACCTATAAGGGCTATAAGGACCTACTAAGGACCTAGAAGGGGACCTAAAAGGAACTATAAGGACCTACAAGGACCTATAAGGACCTAAAAAGGGACCTGTCAGGACCTATAAGGGGACCTAAAAGGGAACCTATAAGGGGACCTAAAAGGGGACCTATGAGGGCCTGGCCCACGCGAGAGCACGCACTCGCTGGGCCGCAACCCCGTCCGACTGGCATTCAAAACCGAGGTTTGGGCTTCGTCTTGGGCCCCAGGTTGGGCCCAGCATCGCCCAAGACGGACCACGGAGCGAGCCCCAACACGCAGTCGAAATCTGCATTCGGAAACATATCCCAGACGAGCCCGAAAGTTTGCTGTTCGACGCATCCCCGCGATCCCCATCGAGGCTAAAATCACAGGAGCACCTGGGGTTCTTCGTATATGTCTGAAGCTTCAAGACTGTATACAAAGCGGGACCCAAGGGGCGCTCCTGATGGCCTCGGGAGCGACTTGGGGAAGCCGAGAGGGGCTCCCGAAGGGGTCAAAACGGGGCCCACATGCGGGCCGAAAGCGTGTTTGGAGCGGCCCGAAAGTCGGGTTCGTCCTGAACGCCGTCTGGAAGGCTTTTTCTGGGGGGTCCCGAAAGGAGCATCGCCGCCGCCGGGCGGAGAAATGGCCGGCGGCGGCGAAATGGCGGACGCCGCCGGGCGGGGGGCGGGGGGTGGCTAAAACCAGGCAAGGATCCTTCACATTTAAGTGTCACACGCCCCTCAGCCTGGTGGGTGGGTGGATTCGAGACGCTCGCGCCCTTCCGCCAGCCCCCACAAGAGGATAGGAGCGGCTTCTCATGTCGCACGTGTTGTGTACCGCTGTCTGCGTGCATCTGTTGCTGATCTGTCCGCTTCCCCTGCGTCTTGTTGCGGGGCTTCTTGGGGGTTTCTCGGATGCCTGGGGTGCTGTCTTCAGGGCGCCTCTCCAACGCCGCTTGGAACTTTGGGCGGGCCCTCGGGGGGCCTCTTGGGGCATGTTGGGCATCTTGGAGGCCATCGTACAGAGGAGGGCTCCCAGGGCCACTGCGAGCTCTACCTCCTTTCGGCCTTTCGTAACGTCCCGAGGCCATCCTGGATGTTCTGGAAACCGGCCGTGCGCTGGAAGGCCTTTTCTTCTCACGTGCTCTGGACGCGTCAGAGCCCTTCTTGAGCCATCCTGGAGGGCATCCTGTGCTTCTTGGGTGCCGCAGAGGCTCCGAGGGCCCGCTACTGTCTGGGAGCTCGTCGACCCAGCCCGCCCCCCACCCCTCAGAATGTTGGACCCCAGGCGAAGGGGGCGGGGGACAGCCAAATGTCTCACACGCACTTCCTCGGGGGCGACCAGGAGGGGGTGATGACAAGGGGGGGGTGGATCTCATGGCGGGTGCCGTGTTATCGCCTCAGATTTCATGGCGCCTCTTCCTATATCAATGCGTCCCCTGCCCCCCCCCCCCCTGGGCCGCGCACATGCCGCCGGCCATGATTTGCGCACCCCCCTCTTGGACGCCGCCCTCTTGGGCGCCCCCGGGCTTTCACCCTCGGCAAGGGGGGGTCCGCGACATTTGTCTTGCAGCACCCGCTTCATTGATTCGCCTTCATGTCTTCCTCAGCTTTGGCGCTCCACTTCCAACTCCCCCCATCAACCTGCCCATCTGGCTGCTCGCCCAGCCAGGTTCTGTCCAGCTTCCATGCACGTTTTTTTGTTGCCCTGGGGATGGGGAGGCGGCATGCTGGAAGAGACGCCTTATCTAGTATTAAGTCGGGCGTGTCCCTCTAGAGGAGGAATATGCAACAATTGTCCACAAATAGTATGGGGACGATGTTTTGAGTATTTTTGATTGTTCTGCGTTTTTTGTATTTTATTTTTTTCGTCCAAAATCCGCTTGTAGGGGGACATGCCCGACCTAAGCCTATGCGAGCTCTCGTCGACACCGCCCTTCTGTGGCACCCGCCCCACGAAAAAAG